GTGTGTGTGTGTGTGTGTGTGTGTGTGTGTGTGTGTATGAGCATTTCTCTACTAAATTGGTTGGATTGATCTTTAAAAAATATGACTGAAGTGTTGCGGTTACCTGTGACAGTGAATTTAAGTGTCGTTCTGTCACTGCAGAAAATTTCCTGGTTCCTGTGTGAGCTGGAACCCATCTGTCAGTCGAATACATGCTTCACAAGATGTAAGACATCTGGTCTTGCTCATGATTTTGGGAGACAGTCTCAAAGATTGTGCTTTCTCCTTCCACATGTTATTTGTATTTGACTATCTTTATGTTTTGCTGAAACAGTTGTGAAAATGACTGTATTTTCTGACAGCCTTAGGCAGCTGATCCTCAGGGGAACAGTTTAGGTCAAATTAAAGCAGTGTRGCCAGGCCAGCCTAATTTTATGTTGTGACATGTTTTGGACCCTGGCCTCAGTATAGGCCCTGACTACAACATTTTAAACAACTTATGACAACTTGTGCCGAATTTGTCAAACACTAAAGGTGTCTATGCTGACGATGGGATAAAATAATCTCCTGGAAGCCTCTTTTGGACATATACATGCTGTTATGCTACATTATGAGGACATTAGTCATAATAATTTGGCATAAGTTGCCTCTAACATGGGACAGGACCTTATGCTAAAAGTTCTGTTTGCTTCCTGCAGATGTTCCTGTCCATTGGGTTTGCAGCAGTTGGTGTGGTAGGGGCTATTTACAATTTGAGTGTGGCTTCTCTTGGTCTTGCTAACGGGCCAATGTGCCAATGGCAAAATGACCTCACCTCCGTCCCACAGTGGGGAGTGCCCTTTGGGAACAGGTGTGTATTTTAATTCTTAACTGATAGACAGTGTTTCTAATACAACCATACCTTAAATTGTTTTGCTACTAATTTTCATGTTATGATAATTAATGCTACTTTAATATATGATGTATAGTTCTGGGAGCTACCTGAGTGACAAAAGCATGTGGAGCTGGTGTATAATACCTAAAAATGTGGTTGAATTCAACACTGGACTGTTTGCCACTCTGCTCGTGGCTGGTTGCCTGGAGCTCATCCTCTGTGCCATCCAGATGGTGAACGGGCTGTTCGGCTGCATCTGCGGCACCTGCTCTGGGAACAAGGTGAGCAAACAGCAAGTTCAATTGAGGCGGCTTAGCCCAGGGAGGTCTTCTTCCAATTAGAGGATTCAATCCTCAGCTCCTGCAGTGTGCCAAAGTGTCCTCGAGCAAGACACTGTACACCCCCACTACCACAAGCATGCTTATCTGTGTTTGAATGAGACATAAAAGGGTTGCAGTGTGTAAACATACATAATAAAACACACAGTTTAGGTGTGTAGAGGTGAGGGGAAAAACGCACTTTGCAGAGTCTAGAGAGGTTWAAAAGGTGCTTTATAAGTAAGCACCATTTACCATTAATCTTAATGAACTCTGTTAGAACAATAACACAAGAACACATCTGTGATCTGTCATTCTGCACTGACATTTAGAGCCTCCAAAATCTCTATACACCCCTTGAACTTTCTCCCACATTTTGTCCCATTCCAAACTCAAACTTCAAAGTTATTTTCTAGGAATTCTATGTGACAGGTGAATACAAACATGATTGTAAAGTGGTAAGAAAATGTTGGATGGTCTTCACAATTTTTACGAATATGTTTTTACATAAACACCAAATTTGTAAATAAATTAGGTAAATATGTAAAAATCAAATATTTATTTTTTACAGTTCTGCTAGTGCAATAGGTTATATCTGTTTCTGAAGATGTAAAATAAAACAGGGGTTCTTAACCTTTTTGACCTCGGGGCCCAGTTTGTTGAACATAAAGTGTCACAAGGCCCAGTCAGACATTACCATACGGATCAAAATTATGATTATTCTAAATCTTGGTTTAATTTTTATTGTATTTACATCATAACTAAACTATCATAACAAACATAACTAAATTAAAAACACTTACAGTTTAAAAGTAAAACTCCTGTCAAACAATCACAAGACATGATTATGACAAATATTTTTATATTGTAACCTGCCCATAACAATTATTTGAACAAATATAAAGGTCAGTCAACAGACCACTCAGGCTTATCAGCACAAATATATATAACAAAAATAGATAATTCAAAAAATAAAATTGTGGGCATAAAATAGATAAATTAAAAAGTTTAATGTAAATGTTTCAAATTAAAAAACTATGTAAAAATAAATTTGATAAAGTACAAAATATAGCCTTTTAAACTTTTGCAACCAGAAGCTGCTCTTCATAATAGTGACAAACTATAACAGTAACAACAGCTTTTTGACTAATTTAAAATTTCTTTAAAATACATTCAAAATGTTTAAAAATAAACCACAAACATTAAGTGCAAATTAAAATACAGTTGTATCTGCAACTGTATTTGATCATGAACTTTTAAAATATTRCMTGGTAAAAACAGAAGCTGCTCTTCATATTAGTGACAAACTGGTGTTTTTTCACGAGTTACCTTCATTTTTGTTTCTACTTTTCATTTAAAATAAGTTTCCATTCTCAGCAGGTTTCTAAGGTTCTTCTTCTACATATTTAAAAAGTTGTTWAACATCTGAGTGGTGCACTACTGCTACTMGTGGTGAGAAAGTGTATTGCASCTYATTCAAAATCAATGCRGTCCYRCRGCCCTCTGTGGCCCAAAGTTAAAAACTGTTGTTCTTTTGAGGCCCTCAAGGTGGCGCTCACGGCCCACAGGTTAAGAATCACTGAAATAAAAACACATTTACTGACCAACTCATGTGCTTGAACTTCACAACAATAGGTTTACCAGAAATCAATTCATCAAACATTGTAAGGTTGAAAAGTTATAACAACACTCCTGATTTCTGTCAWTGGGTTTCTAAACAACATAGCTCATGCTAAATGCTATAACTTTAACTGTCAACAACATARCACAGGTAATGTAACACTGCTTGATTCTTGAAGCAGTGTGATGAAGCCTAAAGAAAATGTGAGCTGATGATGGTTAGTAAATTAGCTTTCTGCACTAGTGTTATCAGAAGCTAGCAAAAACCTACTAATACAAATTTATGCAGTTCTTTGATTTATTTGTAGATATTGTGAGTTTATGATTACGTTCAATCCATTTTTTCTCCCAATATCAACATTTCCTTCTCACACTTAGCCTGCTGTCAGTCTCACTTCAGAGSTGAGCACTCTACTAGTACTGTAGGCCACACACATTTTATATTCTAAAGTGGCTCCAAATGATCTCCTTTAGTGGCACATTATAGGCAGTGTCAAATATAGTCTGTAACGCATTTAAAAATGCAACAGAACAATTGGAAAAAGCACCTCCATTTGTGTGGAGTGCAAGATGAAAACTGTAAATAATATCAAAGAAAAGAAAACAAATTGGGGGGAACGTTTAAAAAGCTGTTCCTCGCTATTTTGATATTGTAATGTGGCCGTTCTCATCATCTAGTGGCATGGCAAAAGTATTTCAGTGTTATTCTTACAGTCCTGCAGTTGAAGCTTTTTATATAAACATTCTGGCTCCTAGAAAAAAAAAAGAAAGTTCCATTTCTGCAGTATAAACTACCTTTGTTCAATTACATATTTTCATAATTTTGCTTTTGGATTATTCTGATTGACTGACAGAAAGATGGGCTGGATTTAAATACGTAAATGGACTGCACTTTTCTGTCCAACCAGGATACTGAAAGCAAAGCACTACAATCTGTGTCCTCATTCACCCATTCACACACACATTCATTCAACACTACTGGATCTCTCTACAAAGCTCATATAAAAATMAATCTGTAGAGACTAATCAGTGCTTTATACACACTCTTACACTGATGGGACACATCAGAGACAGTGGGGGTTCAGTGTCTTGCCCAGGGACACCTCGACATGACTGAATAATGGTGGAATCAAACCAATAACTCTCACATTAGAGTAATGACTCCCCTAACCACTCACTCTGCCACAGCCACCCTCTACGTACATTAATTTTTGTGTAACTTCTGTCCTGGGCATATTAACCAATCAGTATTTTTTTTTTTCAGGACTGAGTGAAACCGAACCATGACTTCTTGACGACAAGCTAACAGGGATCCTCACGCTTTTAGTTTCTCACAGTGGGATCAGAGGCCATCCGTATCGTCTCACACTGATCAACCCTGCTCCTCAGGTTTCATTTGAGCCTTTTTATTATGAGTTTGTCAAGAGGATTGACTGGGAATATTACTGATTATTTTCTTTACAGTTTTACTTCACGTTCTGCAGATTACAGTATGGAAGCCTTTATGTGCAGAATATGATGTAGGATGTTCTGTTCATCAAGCTGTAAAGTTGTTCCAAATATTTTGTAATAAACTTTGAAAGTTGATGTCATGTCACAGAATTTTTTTCTAATGAAAATAATAGCTCGTCTAATTCTACACTTGGATTTATGTTTTTTTTTGTTTGTTTGTTTGTGTTTGCTCTACTTGATGTCATCATTTACTGCTGCAGCTGGATCTTGGTTTAGCTGAGATTTGATTTAATTTAATATTGATCTAATGTGAAATTATTTATGTAATGGAAAACATGTATTAGGCTGAGTTTAATATAAGTTTTGTTCATGCAAGATTCTTGTTTTTTTTACAGTAATGTTTTAGCCATAAAGTGAGAATTTGAATATGTCTGATAATATCTATTAAAACAAAAACATTCCCCAGGAAAAATGACTTTGACCATGTTTAAAAATGTGAATCCTGTTTTTGCCGGACACCAGAGCTGCTCTGGAGTCCATCTACAAAGATCACACCACACCAAAAGGAAAAGGAAAGAGCTGTTAAAAAATAAAAAAAATGTCCTTCACCCTTTACCTGTTCAGATCTAACACCAGTTAATAACCAGAAGCACTCGGAGAGTGCAAACCTCCGCCAAGACCAATTTCCCCCATCTTAGTTAACCACCTGATAAAAATCTGTAGGCTCACACCGTCACGCAGCCCTGGCCAGGTCACATTGCTCTTGTATGAACCAATCTAAGTCAATCCTCATGTGTACAAAATAAATTTAACATTCCTCTTACAATATTGAACTTATTAAAGCATTATCTATTAACATTAAACGTTATTTCCTSGTCATCTTAMCAATTTATGACATTTTCCCAAATCACACACCATTCCCTACATGGGCAATATCAGGTCAGGACTGATGGCTGTCTCACAGATGATGATGATGATGATGATGATGATGATGATGATGATGATGATGATGATCTTCTTATTCTTCTTGTCGGATTTATGGCGGTTGGCAACAAACTGTTAGTAGCATTACCACCACTAACTGGAATGGAGTGTGGTTTGTGATGGTTTAAATATTTATCCTCATCTGTACTGTATATACTGTACATACAGTATATTCTACCATACATTTTATTTAAACATACACTCATACATTCACACTTAATACATACATACTTATAACCAACTTTTTTATATGACGTCTTCATTCATAAACACACTAACTATAATTAAACTCTATGAAATAATTTAGTTTTCTTTAGAAATCTAATAATTATTTGCATTTGTTTACTCCCTAAATTCTTCCTCAATATATCTAATAAATTAACCTTCTCCTTAATACTTTCAAACTCTGTCTTCATTCATAAACACACTTACTATAATTAAATTCTATGAAATAATTTAGTTTTCTTTAGAAATCGAATAATTATTTGCATTTGTTTACTCCCTAAATTCTTCCTCAATATATCTAATAAATTAACCTTCTCCTTAATACTTTCAAACTCTCTCTTCATATATCTTCTCTCTATTTCTTATTTATGGCATTCTAATATAACATGCTCTTTGGTTTCATACTTATCACAATAATCACATTTTCCAGTTTCATGTTTTTGAATTTTAAAAAGTGTATAATTAAGTCCTGTATGTCCATATCTTAACCTTGTTATCGCTCTTTCCTCCTTTCTATTTCTTCTTCCATTTCTTCTTTCTCCWACATTCTTCTGAATTTTATAAAACCATCTTCCTGTTTTATCTTCATCCACCTTTTTTGCCATACTTTCATCAGTTTCTCTTTAACAATACTCTTTCCTTCAGATTTACTTATTTTAACTGTAAAACTAACGAACGGTTCTTGCATGAGGCCCATTGTGAATAACGTAAGACAATCAAGCAATACGATGTACTTGTATCATAAACGACTTGTTCACTGAAAGCAGCTTGAGAACTTATGGCGAGAATGTAAACATATTATTTTGGATCGGCTATGTAATAAAATATAGCCTAACTGTGTGTTCAAGTTACCTCTGGACAGTCAATTTTTGTCCATTTATAAAAACAAATGGACCACGGAAGGATACTTCCTCCTTCCCCCCTTCTCTAGCTTTCTTCACCAGGGCCAAAGTCTCTCTCTTGCTTCCTTGTCTTCTGGAGAAAGGACCTCTGTGATCCTCGATCTGTTGTCGAGAAGAAACTTTGAGCCTTTCGCTTCTCTCCAKATGGCATCCCGAACTCGTCTCAATGTGAAGAGGATGATAGTTGATCTGTTTGATCCATCATGACGCCGTTTCCCCACGTAGTGTACGAGGTCGATGCCTCCCTCCAGGAAGGTGYGGAGTTTAAGGTCCAAATTGCCAAGGATGTCTATGATTTTGGATCTTTTGTCTTCTCCCTCGTCCTCTTTCACTCCAAGTACACTGAGACGGCTGCTCCAATAGGCAGCGCCAGTCCGTAGGGTATCTCCTGTACATACGTATATATGGCTCACATGGTGCTGCATCACACCAACTAAAGTAACTCGCTAACTACGAGCGGGAAAAGGGGGGCCAAGATGGCGTCTACTTACACAAACGTGTTTTTCACTCTGTCGAGTGAGGTGGTTCTTGATTGAAGAATCAATGTTGTAACCAGTACTGCGCCAGATTTCACATATTTGAACCCCTTACATTCCAAGGGAATCCTAACCTGAATGGGTAAAAGAAGAGGGAAAAAAATCCTTGGCTACAAGTATGGAAGATGCTAGCAGTTTTAACCCCACAATGGACAATGAGACAGTTGAGGGTCAGACGGAAGCTAATAACTGGTTTGAAGCTAACCAAARTCCACTACAAATCTGTCTTGCCACACCACTTCCTGACACGCCGCTAAAACCTCCAATGAAGAAGGTAAAGTTTGGTGATGGTGCAAACGCTGAAATATTGGAAGCAATCCATATGCTATGAAAGAAACAAGACGAAACTTTCCCCACAGTCGCCTCCATTAAAAAGACATCAGAATCTACGACAATGCAAATGGAAAAACTTACGTCAACCGTTCAGCAACTTACATCAGACTACACGAAAAAGGAAATTCAAAAACTAAAAGCGGAAAACAAGGCCTTGAAGACAAACATAGACGACTGCCAGCGCTACAGACGAAGATGGTCTCTGAAGCTATGATGTGACCTCATGCAGCTGTGACTTCTTATTGCAGCTGAGCTGTTTACACTGAGGGGCTGTTTACACTGAGGGGCTGTTTACACTGAGGGGCTGTTTACACTGAGGGGCTGTTTACACTGAGGGGCTGTTTACACGCAGCTGCCCCTCCAAAGGAACTGACAACTCAAAGGAAAAAAAAAAGTTCAAATATTGCAAATGATAAAAAAACTATTACAAAATGTTATCTATATGTGTGCACTGTAAATAATTACCTTAAAATGAAATGATACAAAATTGTTTGATTAAACTACCTAAGTACTTAAATGCTAAATTATTTAACTTAGATTAATGAAATTTGTACATTTACAAAAATACAAACCCATAAGATACCAAACAGATAGTAAAATAGTGACACGACCTTTATTTACTGTGTGTCTGCAGGTGCTGCAGTCACAGTATATATGTATACTAAAGCATTATTTACATTTTAACATCACCTCTAATCCTGACAATCTGAACCGTCCTGTCAGTCATCTGTCTTGAAGTGCTCTCTTCAGTTTGAATGAGCAACAAAACCCTCTGTTCTGATTAGAACTTCTCAGTCCGTGTCACTAGGAGGTCTATGTGAAGAAAAAACCCAGGAAGAGATAAAGAGAACCAGTTCCTGCTGTTATCATTTTGTTGATTGACAAATAAAATTAGCTACAATGATAAAATATTATAAATGCTAAATAACCAAAACTATTGTTCAGTCTTACTTATAAAAAAGGTAATCACATGTGATCTGCTTTCAAAACTTTGTAGACCAAATAAGGGCAGAGTCTCTTGCTCCAGTGCTGCTTTGAGAGAAGAGACCCCAATCCAATATGGTGGCGCCGCGTGATGTGATTCTGCCCACCATCAGGTATCTAGTATTTATAACAGTGCTCAACACATGCCTCAAAAGTAGTTACTTAACATTAAGATATGTTTGGTCAAATATATTGTAATTATTGTTATATTTACAGTTTGTTTCACCATTTCTGGCGCTTTGTCAGGTTAATGTCGTTTGATAATTCAGGTGTGGTATTAGAGCACCATCTATTGGATTTTTGAGTATTGTAGGCTAAAACTGCACACTGCATTTATGTGTAGTTAGTTTACTTACATTGATATTTATATACATTTTATTGTCTTTTATTTCAGATAACCTTACATGCACACATGCAAATTCTACACAAATCTAAACATTGACATCTGTAACTGAACTGCCACCATGTCACCTCTTTTTGTACCTRCAACTACTCTTTCCTCAATAAATGTTCTGAACTGCACCATTGGAGTTGACTTATCCTTCTGACTGAGGAAGACCTAGCTGATAATCAATCTGCAATTAGCCTGTGTCAAATGCACACAGTCTATCACATGCCTCTTTAAAAATACTATCATGCAACAAAACAACTTGGCCAGCAATATGTGGAAAAATTATGTTTTTGTGGCGTCCATATTACAAAGCTCTAAATATTTTTAATGTAGTATTTATTTATAATACAGGTGTAAGCCCATTATAACATGTTGCTTACTTCCAAGCTGAGTGTTTAGCTACTGTGAACAAGGCCTCTCTTGAGGCTCTCAACTGGATGAATTGATCAGTTTTATCCTTTCTCCCATGGGCGTAACCGCCATAGGCACTGGGTGGGACATGACCCCCCACCACACACACACTTCCAATATCTTTGCCC